GCGCGGTGCGCGCGTGACCACATGTGGACATCTCTTGATAAATCGTTCATGTCACACTATGTGTGATCGATTACAATTTTCAATAAAATTTAATAGCTATCTTCATATACAAAAGGTTCTCGCAATATATATTTAGGTATATAGTTATAGAGATATCTTTATAGCTTGTCAAGCTATAATGATAATCGGATGAATAATAAATGTATTATTCGTCCGACTGTTGTCGGTTTGTACGAATATTCATCACTTTTTTGTTTTCCAATGTAAAATAAGTGGTTTTTAGGTACATGCGTTTCTATATGCAAAATTAAATCACCTTTACCTTATTAAATAAAACTATCTTTTCGGATTATTTCGCGGATTTATTTTGATTTTTGGTTCCCGACGTTTCGAATGCTTTACAGCATCCATGATCACGGGAGAGACTGAGGTGTTACATGTCTTACAGATATAGTTGTTACAGACAGCCTACCCACAATCAACAAAATGAACATTGCACCAATTACATTACAATATTTTAACTTTAAACATTTTTATAATTTTAATTATAATTGAATATGGAAAATTATTTATTTAATTTTTGCTATTATTTTTATAATTATTACAATTTTAAAAATATTAATTAGTAATCTATATTTAGTGTTGCCATTATTATATTTATAACCATAAAGAAAAATATAAAATTTAGTATTATTTATTTAAGCCATATAATTGTTCAATGTGTAATTTAAAAAAGTTAAAATTAATTAAGGATTATAATTTTAATTTAGTTTGCTATTTTTTAAAAACAACTTACTAAGCAACACTATTAATTTTTCATTTGTAAAAGTATATATTTCATTGAACAATTATATGGCTTAAATAATTAATACTATATTTTATATTTTTCTTTATGGTTATAAATATAATAATGGCAACACTAAATATAGATTACTAATTAATATTTTTAAAATTGTAATAATTATAAAAATAATAGCAAAAATTAAATAAATAATTTTCCATATTCAATTATAATTAAAATTATAAAAATGTTTAAAGTTAAAATATTGTAATGTAATTGGTGCAATGTTCATTTTGTTGATTGTGGGTAGGCTGTCTGTAACAACTATATCTGTAAGACATGTAACACCTCAGTCTCTCCCGTGACCATGGATGCTGTAAAGCATTCGAAACGTCGGGAACCAAAAATCAAAATAAATCCGCGAAATAATCCGAAAAGATAGTTTTATTTAATAATGTCAAACATTCGCGTAAATCTAAGAAAGTATCGCCTTAACCTACCAAACTGAAAACTTATTCTTTTAAATCTCAACGATTTTTAAGTTCAAGAATTTTTAAAGTTGGAAAAATATTTTTAGGTGCAGGAGTTTCTGTATTTAAAATAAAAGTACCTTAACCTACCGAGCTGAGCCGAGCTACTCACCCTGCTACTTACTCGTATTTATTAGTCTATTCGTCCTTCCTTATAATTTATATATATATATATATATATATATATATATATATATATATATATAAATTTATATATATATATAAATTGATATATATATATATATATATTAATAACCCTTCTTTATCTATATAACATTTTTTTTAAAAGCTTAGGCTCTCTAACATGACGCTATGTCTTTTAGACACTGTGCAAATACACAAAAACAACTACGTGAGTAGCGTCGCAGGTAAAAACTAGTTAAAAAATAAAATGCGACAAAAAATGGCAGATATTCTCATATATTATCTCAAAGTATCAATCCCACTAACGTCAAGAAGGACATCTCTATGACATTGTGATGGGTTTGTGTCACAGCTGTCACACTGACACATTGGAATGTAGAGTTGGCTCTACTAATAACAAGATGCAAGACAAAACACAGCCATTCCCTAACTTTACTTAGATTTCAATTTGAAATGTTTAAATGATTAATAGTAAATTATAACTTTAATATCTACTAAATATATTAGGTATCATCCTCTCACTTGACCATGATTGCTGTAAAGCATTCGATAATTCGGGGACCAAAAATCAAAATCCACGACAAAATCCGAAAAGGTAGTTTTATTTAAAATGTCGTATATTCGCGTAAATCTAAGAAAGTATTACGTAACTTAAATATTTTAATTTTTAGTTGATACTAGCTCTCACGCCGGGCTCTACTTGCGTTAAAAAAAAACCACTTATTCCACATTATAGTATAGGTACTGACGACTCACCCTCGCCCTGCTCCGGTTTGTTCCTAGGTACGTTTTAACGGATTTAGTAGTATTTAGTATAGATTTCTCAGAGATTGGATATTTTCCCGCAGTAAAAAGTATCCTATATCTATAGATTCGGCCTTATATTATATTATATATTATATAAGGCCAATAATTTAATAAGATAATTTTAGATAATTTTCAATAAGATTTTCCTAAAAATATTTCATTTAGACATTCGATTCAGTTAAAATTTTATTATATGTATAGATTTTAGTATAGGTAGTTGTAGAATCTGTTCACAAGGGATCGTAGGAGAGAAAACTATTCTTATTTTAACCGACTTTCAAACAGGAGGAGGCTCTCAACTTCCCCTACCTTCAAAGGACGATTCGTAATTATTATTCTAGATCAAATATAATTAACATAACAACAAATAATTTATAACATAATTTACATGATACAATCGTAATCTCTATATAAACATTAATTAATTAAAAGGGGGTTAAATAATTATAGGTAAATTATCTTAATTATTATTTTTTTATTCTAATTTTATTATTTACATGTTAAGTGGTTATGCTGAAATGACAAAAACTCAGACCGCAAATCATTATTCTAGAAATTTCGGCCACATGTTGATGACGTCATCGCGGCGCGGCGTCCGAGTGACACCCGACGCCGACCTTTGATGCGACATTTTGGCCAATTTTACAGCTATAAGAATCCCCGCACATTACAGACATTCTTTAAATCGATAGTTTCATAAACGGTTTGAAAATGTAAGATATTATTAGTGGATTCAGAATTGATATAATATGCAGATTTTAAGTTTTCTTCATACTTTATATTATACTTATAACAGATTTAACTAAGAGCCGAATAGTCTGCAGTGTGCGGCTTAAGTTACTTTGCAATTTTCACCGGCCCGATTGTTATCCTACTTAGAAATGATTTTTATTAAGATTGTTTTAGAACCAAAAAGCTAATTCATTTAAGTATTAACATTATATTTCCACACCTGTTGACACTTTACTGACAGGGATAATTAAAATCTAACAATTTTAATGAATTTGTGACATTAATTCATTTATATTATACCATATAACATAACAAATGAAGTATATCTCTATAGGTTAAAATCTTAATAGTTTAGAAAATGAAACTTGTAAGTTTAAATCACTTTTAATGATGACTTAAGTCGTAAGTTAACTCGAACTGTCCATCTATTCCGGACGCGTCTCCTCGCAAGTCGCAATAAGACAATGCGGCATTTTGTGGGAGCGGCGACTAATTTGCTCTCCGCTGATATATTGTCAGTCGTCCTTTTGGAGAAACACTTAAGCAGTTAGTATCGATTTTAGATATATTTAGCATCATCGGTTTTATTTCGGATGTACACTTAGCTTCAGATTAGTTTAAAAATGAATTCTTTTGGAAAAATATATGAGAATGGCTGTATGGTTGATAATAAATGACGACACGTTTGATTCAGTTTGTAGTGACCCTACTTGCTGTGCCAGCGGTCGCGGGTTCGAGTCCCGCTGGGGGAATTCATTTGTGTGATGAGCACTACACGAATGTTGGTACTCCAGTCGTGGGTGCTTATATTTATAATATGTATGTATTTAAAGTAATATATGTGTAGCATATCAATTATCTGGTATCCATATCACAAGTCTCATAGCTTACCATGGAACTAGATGGTGCTGTGTGTTAATGTCCCAACATATTATTTATTTATTTATGTTTTGAACATATAATATACGTGTTACTACTTTATTGCCTACTCCACCTCAACTGCAGGCTAACTCTCAGAGGACATAATATTATACTAAATGCTATTGAGAAATAGTGTAGCTTTATTAAATAAAAGAATTTTGAATCAGTCTAGGAGTGTACTGGATGTACATAATATATACTTACTAAAACATCAAATCTTACCTTGTTATCAATAGCTAGTATATTCATTTTGTATATAGATTGAAAATTATTAAAAAAAGTTGTATTTATTTCAATTCTCATTTTTTTGGCTATTACAATTGATTGGCTATGATAAACTACAACATATAACTATTTTGTACTGTGAGATCTTAAGGAGCATAAAGAATATAAAGGTCGTCATGTTAAACACAAGAAAAAATTAGACAGGACCGATCTAGAATACTAGGAGTGGCACCACTAGGACTCATGTTCTATCATTGATAAAAAAAAGTACTAGATACACAATCAGCGACAAAAAAATGTCCTCACCGCATGAGCGCTCATTTGAATATATAAAAAAAACTTTAAGCGCATTTAAGGTTCAATTTACATTTTTGTATATTTATTTCAACTAGAATAATTGCATAAAGACAATTGGTGACAGTTTTAAGAGAACTTTTGCATGAGATTGTGTAACTAGTATTTTTTTTGATCGATGTGTTTTATCGAAAGTTTAGTTTATTAATATAATTTGTGTTAATAAAAATAAACTATACAGAAATAAAGCGATTCTTCTGGTCGTCAGATACAATTGGCGCAAACTTAGCTTCGATTTTATTAAACCTTACTATGCAAATTTTTATTCTTTAGAATAATTGATATTTTTAACCTCCGATGCAAAAAGAGGGCTATTATAAGTTTGATGTGTGTATCTGTGTGTCAGTGACATCGTATCTGTCTGGAATCGGCAAGATACTCAACTCCTTAGGTACTAAAATATCTACTGGAGACATATTTATTGTTATTAGGCTCATTGAAATGATGTCAATGAGTAAGTTATTGTGTTGGATTTTAATTTAATTTCATGTATTTTTTGTCTGTAGACCCCAATGCAGGGGCGATGGGGAACCATGGCATGGGCGCGGGCGCGCAGCAGTACGGCGAGGTGAACCAGCTGGGCGGCGTGTTCGTCAACGGCCGCCCGCTCCCCAACGCCGTGAGGTTACGTATCGTGGAACTGGCACAGCTTGGTATTAGGTGATTATTCTCTATATTTTTCACTCGACCGCGCCAGAAGTAGGGTTATGTTTTTCGAGTGTGTGTATGTATGTTTGTATGTATGTGTCGTTAGATTCGTCTTAATTGTGAGAGTGACACTGAGTATATCAATATTATAAAAGTTAAAATGGCCTATTTTTGGTGTCATATTACCTACTTATATCTTAATAAAAAAAAATTTCCTCAAAACCTATCGAATGGGGTATCAAAATAAAGGTTTTTATAAATAGCTTACAAAAATATATACAACTTGAAATAGAAATAAGTTAGAAATGCTAAAAAACAACAAATAAAAAAATATTAACATGAAAACAAGTTGACGAAGGAATATAGTATTGTGCAGTCGGAGACATACACACACGCAAGCTTTTATAAAACATCTAGGTAACTACATAATTTGTTGGCTTACTATTACAAGGTTCTATGTTAATTTTAATGAAGTTCAGTAATTTTTACATAGAACTTCGTTATTTTGCTATCGTAAAAAAAACAACATAGAACTATGTAAAATTGAATATTTCGTAGTTTAAGTGCTACTATCTAGCGGTTTGTTTTTGCAAAACTGTAGCTAATGACACATAGAACCTTGTAGCCTTAATAACTAAATAAGTACTAAAATTGTAACATAGAACCTTGTAATTGTGAGCCAACGAATTATGTCTCCGACTGCATAATACTGTGTTCCTACGTCAACTTGTTTTCATCTTTTTGCAGCCAATAGGTACGTTGTGTTAACAAAGTCAAATAAATCCAACGCCACGCATTTTATCGTCTAGATACATCTGAACAAAATTATAAGATTTATTAGTCGAAATGTGATGCTTTGCATAAAGTGGTAGCATCATGTTCAACAAATATGTCGTATTGATTTCTTGGTAAAAAAAATGACGTTGAAAAAAATATACTCAATTCTAAATTGGACCAGGCCATGTGACATCAGCCGACAACTGCGGGTCTCGCACGGGTGTGTTTCTAAGATCCTCGCGCGCTACCACGAGACCGGCTCCATCCTGCCGGGTGCCATCGGGGGCTCCAAGCCACGCGTCACCACCCCTAAGGTATATTCATTAATATTATTTTATTATTATTATTTATATATTTAATATATTGATACTATTGTAATTTTTCTCTTGTCGTTATAACAATTCTAAAAACATTACTTACTGGTTACAAAGAAAATAGATAGAGCAATGCTGCTGAAAATAGGTATATCACGTGAAAATACTTGACTTTTTTTTATAATCGTGTGATACGGAAAGACACAAATATTTTATGTTATCGTTTTAGATTTAACTTAATATACAGTTTTAATATAAAATTGTTTAACACTAAAATTAGCTACTTTTATAAACATTCATTTTTTTTATATTTAAGAAGGAAATTTAAGAATTTCTTAGTACAGTAGTGAAAGATTATATGTTTTACTGTTGTATATTACTGTATTAAAAATAATTGTAAAAAAAGGTTAAATATCTTCTAATGAATAATTTGTTTTCACAGGTCGTCTCCTATATAAAACAATTGAAAGCTAAAGACCCGGGAATATTCGCTTGGGAGATCCGGGATAGGCTGCTAGCTGATGGAGTCTGTGACAAGTACAACGTGCCGTCAGTGTCGAGCATCAGTCGGATCCTGCGCAACAAGTTGGGCGGCACGCTGTACCCGGTCCCGCCGCTCTACACCGTCCCGCCACAGCGGTGCTGGCCTCTACACCAGCCTTATGACTACTATGTGTATTTGCAAGTAAGTTAATGAACTCCTAACACGCACTGTGGTGGATTATGGTCCAGATCGGCCTCGTTTTGAAATCCCATGCCCAGGTGAGGAATATTAATAATGGCTGAAATCATACTGAAAAGCTATGGGAATAAAAATAGACATCAAATCTGTAGACTTAAGATTACATAAATACAATATAAAATGCAAAAAAACAGGCAAATTATGCAATACCAAACTATGTATATATATTACAACTTTGTTGGTAGGTATGTGTAGCATGTACATATACTGTAAAGTTTATTTATTTCATACGTATTTTTTCTTGTTTCCCCGCATAACAATTGATAGTAATGCTAATGATAAATTGAAATATGATACAATTTGTAAGTAAACCTTTAGAAATTGAGAATTTTATGATACTGTACAATACTAACCACTTGTGATTAAAGCGTCAAATATAGGTACATTTACTGACCTCATCTGCTATGGCCAGTCTGTGAAAGAAATCACTTCGATGCCTCTAAATTCTTTCATTTTATTCACAAAAGAAGATAAAAACAAAGTTAACTTAATTCTGCTGTCCGCCAGGGTCGCCAGCACGCGGCGAGCGCGCAGCACGCGCTGCCGCCGCACCCGCCGCCGGCGCCGCACCACGCGCACGCGCACGCGCTCTGACCTCCGCACCCATCGCTCACGAGGCACGAGAGCAACGTGACCTAAGGGTGACGTGATCTAGACTTTGTGGAAATAATTGATGAACAGTTTCATGTGAAAATCTTAGCAACCGAGCATCACTCAATCGCTTAGAGCGACGTGGTCTTTTTTGTGAAAACGTTGAAAAATAGCTTGATATGAAAATTTGAGTGACAGATTATTTATTATAAAATAAGCGCGTTTGTAAAACTCATTATGAAATATATATATACAGACGAATCTAGGACTTCCTCCTATTTGGAAGTCGGTTAAGAAACTGGCCTTGTACACGAAGTGCATTGATTGGCAATATTTTATGAGTTACGAGTGGTTTTGTAACATCTGAACGATTTACACTTTATTCTCAGCTTACAATATTTATTATTTACTAATGGCCATAAAAGGTGACACAATCGTAGGTACCGCGCATGTAAACACCTGTCAATTAGCTTTATATTTGCTTATATTGATGTATTATTAAAATATTTGCAAAACTGTATATAAATGAAATATTGTGGAAGTAAAGAAAAAAATAGTGATGTATTCGATAAATTTAATTTTCTGTCTATGAAAAATAGTGTTGTGTTCACCGTGGTTGAGACTGTTATAGTGTTTGTAGAATAACGAGATATTATGATGAGTGGTTCAGTTATTTTTATTATGTAGTCGTAAATGATTATAATCTTAGTAAATATTGATTTTTACAAGACAAATCAATTTGATTTGCTTTGATTTGCTCTTAAATTATGCAGATATTCTAAGGCTGTAACACTTAAAAGGTAGTAAAGATTACAAAAAAGATATCGATATTATAATCGATAGTAATTTCAGTCACTATTCTAAACTCTAGACGAATGTTTAAATTACAATTAGTTACACATATTATTATTTAATTTTATATAGAATTATTATTTAAATCGTATGTATTGTTTTTTTTTAGATTTTAAGGGATATTTGTTTTTACTTGGAAGTATTAAAAGCATTTTGATGTAATATCTATATAGTGCAGAAAGTGAAATTTCTGTTCCAAACTCGTTTAAAGGCAAGTTAAAGTTTAATCCATTATTTCGCTATGTTTACTATAGTGAAGTGGCAGGGTGACCGTATTTAGGTACTCAATTTATTCGTCGATAATATCGAATGTTCACTAAGCATGTTGTTAATAAATAAGTGATTTTTAAATGAAGTATTAAATGTCTGTACATAAAATGTAAAATGTAAGATAATATTTAAATAATTTAATTAAATAACTATGTAGCATGTCCATGGTTATGTCAAATAGAATCTTTTGAAAATAGGCAAATATAAAAGGTGTTTCACGACGTGGAAACGCATGGCTTAACTTTAAAGAGGGGTGCAATGATGTAAATAATTAATTATTAATAAATAAGCTATATTTAAGGAACATATGGGTACTTACATTAGATTTATAAAATATAGGTACTTATATATGAAACTTATCTTATTTTTCATATGTATATTAAATTCAAACATCGGTGTCTCTATCTGTATATACCTACCCCATTATAAAAATGGCAAAACGATACTTTAATCTATAAAATAAACAGGTTTTATTTATAATGTTGTGTATTATTATCATTTAAATATTTCATTCATTTCATTTGAGCGACAAATATTATTTTTAGAATCAAAAACATTGAAACCGAATGGCTAATTGATTTTAAAATGTCCCCTGGCATAATAGCCCGCCGCCTTCGCCTCAAGTTTACAACACAAAACAATAACGCGACTGCATCGAAATATCGGAACGGACACGAATTACCAATTAAATCCTTGCTTTGTTTCGAATTTAATACCACCTAATCTGAAATTTTACTGTATTAATAATTTTTATGACCGCCCGTGCAAAAAGCGCGGGAGCAAAAAACAAAATGGCTGTTAAAATGACATTTGACGCCGCACCGGCCGGCAAGGATAAAAAATAAAAAGCGCAGCGGCGAGTTGAGTCTGAAATAGCTAAATAATAATAAACAAATAATAGGATGAATGAGGGAATCTAATTTTTGAAGTGAAAACTTCTATAGGCAGGTTTGGATGGGGAATAATTTATGTAAGTTATCATCGACATGGTCACGTGACATGATAACGCTAACACTCAGAGTGCAGATAGATGTCAAAACCAGATAAATACAAACAGTTTTAATTTACAAATTTTAATTGAAGATCAAACAATTAATTTGAATATCCAAAAATAACAGCTGTTTTTTTTATAGGTTTATTTTTTCACTTATGTCGGCAGTCCATAATTCCTGAGATCTTAGTGGAAGTCACACTCACACGACGGAAGAAAACATTGATGAATATCTAAGCGTTTGAATAGTTTATATAGATAGTTAGATAGATACATTGAAATGATTGAAACTATTTCTTATTTTCATATTCTTCATATAAAAATAGCCAATAAAATTCATCAATTGTGAAGCTTTGAAAATGTACCTAAGTAGTTTCTTAATTAATTCAACGAAATCGATTTCTGAGGTCATAATTTTCAAGAAACTATTGAGTATTGAAGCATTCTATCAAAATATACCCCGAGATTCTTCAAGGCGTATATGGTATAGGTATGTATATAATTTTGTCGATTAAAAATCACTGTAGATATAAACGTCATAGGTTTTTTATAGCTATATGACATTTACAAATATTTTTTCTAACTACATAAAATATAGCAATGTCATAATTAAATTAAATAAAAAAATAACCATCTTGGAAATTATCACTCATCTTCATAGTCGTTAGTCCATTCATGAAAAAAGTGGTGACAGTTGAAGTTAACCGGTGAGTTTGGGCGGGGGCGGGGGCGGGGGCGGGGCTGCCTCGGGTTACGGAGCGGCGTCCTGTGCTCTACGCCCGTTGAAAGGTCAAGGGAAAAAATTAGGACCACTTATAAGTTAACGTGACGTGATTAAATTTTTTATATACATTATAAATGATTTTGTAAATTAAGGTATTTATATTAATTCATTACAAATCTACAGTGATATTATAAAGCGGTCGGTTTTTTCTTTGTTTGAACGCACTAATGTCTGGAACTATAATAATAACATTAAATTTTAAGTAAAGCTAAGAAAAAAATATTGTTTATGCAATTTGGCCATTCCCGTTCAAAGATTAAGGCTTAAATTAAAAAATAAACCAGTTTGGCCTGAGTTTAAATAAATCAATTCCAACAACGTGTAAAAGTAGTAGATATTTGGGTATAAATATCGCAAACAATATTCTAAAAAATCTTATGACATGATATAATGACCATACGATTTTTTGAATCTCCGCATATTTTAGACAATTAATCTCATGGTAGTGGCAGTGCAGGATGCATGGGAGCGGCGGTCAGTCGACACTCAGGTTACAAAGTGCCGCCTGCGCCCACGCACACAATGTGACCGTCAAGGGTCCCTTAGTGTAGTCGATTGTCGTAAAAACTATTTATTATTATTTATACCTATCTAGTTCTTCTCAAAATAGATTATTTAATCATTTGATTTCATCTATACATGTAATAAAATTGTAACCAAGCCGAATCTGTACACTAAATATTTTTTGGAAAATCTTATTGAAATAGACATTATTATCGATACAGAGGCGAATCTATAGTTTTTATAATTTTTGTCTGTCTGTATGTATGTCTGTCTGTCTGTCTGTCTGGAAACGCATCATGAGAAAACCACTGGACAGATTTTGATGAAATTTGGTATGATGATAGCTGATTATCCGGGTCAACATTTAGGATACTTTTTAACGTGGGAAAATATATCATCTCTGAAAAATCTATTTTATATTCTAATGGAACGAAACCGAGTAGAGCGAGGGTGAGTTGCTAGTTTGTAACTAAATCTACAGAGGTCGCGAATTTCAAAACATCTGAAATAAAAAAGTTGTATTAACATTCTATAGTTTACATAAAAGTATTATATATTTTTTTTGAATAATTTCATTGTAAGTTTGATTTTATTTCATTTTTTTTACATAATTTTATAATATAACGACAATGGTTATATGTAGATTTTGTTATTTATTTATAAACTTGTTTCACGCTTTTTACGCAAAGTGCTGCCATCTGTCGACAAATAAAATTAACAAATTACAACTTCGATACAAACCTCACAGTATAATCTACTGTACACAAGATGTCGCTATTATACATAATGTGCTTTAAAATATAAACAAAAGTTTAACAAACATTTTATCATTTCTTAATAAAAAAGTAATAGTAATATATAAAGTAAAAATAGAAGACGGATGTAGTTATCTATTAATGCGGTTAAAGCAGTCAATAAACTCAAATAATCAACTTTAATACGCCAAACGTTTCGTATCAATTGAAAACAATATAGAGATAATGAGATTTGAAAGCCTTTTTGCGCGCGGCACTCTGCTGGTGTCGTGTGAACAACAGTTAAGGGACAGTCGACCAACAACGTGAACACACAGTATATAGTAGTTAAAGCGTACTACTTTGCTTGTGTATTTTATTTTACTGTAAAACTAAATTTAATGTCCTACTATCAAATTATTATAGAAGGACGATCATGTTAAATTGTCTATAGCCTAAGCTGGTTCATGAATTTGGATATATTTGTGATTAGATTCAACTTAATTCTGAAAGTGACATCTGATCACACTAACAATTGTTATTATAAAATATAAGGTTCTTGTAGAGTGTATTTATGCGCTATCGCTTTAATAATAAAGGCGGAAATAGCTTGTCCAATTATTTTGTTTTTAGATGAACCGATTCCGAATTTGATTGTTATGGGTATAACCTGAAAGAGGACGTAGACATAATAGGTACATTTTTTTTCGTTTTTATTTGTAAAAAATATTATATAGCAATATTTTTTTATATTAAACTAGTGACTCACCCTCGCTCCGCTCGGTTTGGTATGTGTAAACGATAAGTATGGGTTTCTCCGAAATAAGATATTTTCCCGTACTAAAAAGTATCCTATATGTTGACC